ACCACAGGGGGATGGTAGAGCCAACAGCTTCAGGAATGTCAACTGGGTATGAGCCTCAAGGTAAAGAGACTATGACTCCCCAGGGCATAAAAGTTTACATATCAGAAACTGAAGCACCAGCCTCCTAAGACAATTCAGTTGCTACCTTAATTGGATTATGTAAATTGATTCTTCTGCTATCCTTATCTCTGCATTTTGCAGAGATGCTTTTCTCTCTACCTGGGTAACCAGCTCAAGTTACTCAAGTAGTTACGCCATCCTCAATGTCACTCATCCCTGAGCCATGCTCCTTCTTCACAAGATAATAGATTCTGGGAGAGGCTAGGATCAGGGTCTTTGCCCACACATCCTCACAGGGATTGGATTTAGGACCCGTTGGCTGCCCTTAACTTGGAATATGTCTTGGAGTCTTTACTCTAGCCATGGGTTGCATTGGAGGTAATAGATTGGAATTAACTTTCTGGGATTCCAATAACATCTCAATGGGATTGTAAATATAACTTTTTGGATTGTGAGGAAAACTAGAAAAGAGATTATAATGCTTGGATGACTGTACACAATATTTGAGAATACAATACTGCCAAATGTCTTATTATTGTTATTGTGCATAAGAAGCCATAAGGAATAGATGTTTCAAATATAGGTTTAAAAGTAAATTTATCTGGGTATGATTTCTCTTTCCCTAATTACTAGTGTTATGACCTCAGGCAACATGCTTATCTACAATGAACATCAGTTTCCAAACCTGAAGTTTCTCAAAAACTCACCACAGGGATGTTATAATAAGTAAATCTTATAAATGGTTTAGTTGAGTACCTGGGCCTCAAAAACATGTGTTATAATTAATTGTTTAAGCATAACAAAGTAGTTGTTCAAATATTATTCAAACAAATGTTGAATGAAATTTCAGAAATTCCTCAAGATCAGTTCAGACAGAGTATGAGTCAGAATTCCAGCTGGAGACACATGGTGCATACATTCAGAGTGGTGACTAAGCAGAGTCAATAAAAAGCTATTTGCAGTGGTCAGGGCAGGGTTCAGGGAACTTGGGAGTTGGCAACAGGGGGCCTGAAGCTGCAAGGGAGGGAGCGCATGCCCAGACTCAGTGAGAGGAGCAATCATAGGCAAGGTCAGTCAATAAACCCTCCAGCCAGCAGCTCAAAGCATGGGCAGGGGGCTAGAGTGCTATCCCCCTCCACTTTTCTCTAGCACCTTGGCATATCTTCTGCTAGTGCTACTCACGAGCCCAACTCAACTGTGAGCCCAGGGGCAAGGGCCCCTGTGCAGTCCTGCAGGTCAGCTCTGTGGGATCCGGAGTGTGAAGGCAGAGATTGACCTAAAAACCCAAAAGGAGACCTGCAAGTACAGGGAGTCACCAAGTGCCACAGAGCTCCCCCACCCACACGTGTCCAGTCCTGCTTAAATACCAATCGATACTAGACAGGGTTTCTTTGGCATGATCATTAAGGGACAGAATCAGATAACTCTTGCACTTTGGTTACTTTATCTACAAAGTTGTTCCCTCAAATATAATTAAGCTGATTTTATTCGGTAATTCTCTACTTTGTTGGCAAGAATGTAAGCATTCTAATGTATAGGAAGTCCTGTCTTGTGTCTAACTTAAATGATTCCCACTAAGCCAAAATAAACAACTCTACCTTAAACAGTTTTCCACAGGGCAGGAAAGAATATATACATATTTACATACAATACATATATGTATATACATATTTACAAGTATGTATGTATTTATATATAACACATGTATATACATGTATATATTTAAATCACAAGTACAGAAATTGTACCTTTATGATTGACCATAACACTTCTATAGTTCTCTTTCCCTATTTCCAAATCTCTATTCACTCCTTAGAAGTGGCTTCTCAAATATCCTGCGAATGTCAGAAGAGCTGCTTCTTTATTTCATGTGTAAGCCTGGAAAAAGATTTATAGTGTTCTTGGAAAGGCATAGAAAGAGACTGTAATCATTTCCTGGCTTTGTTCTGGAGTCTTTCCAGCTTCTCCACAAATCCCTCACGCGGGAGAAGATAGCTATGGGCAGGAAATTAACTTTACTTTCTGTTCTACCCTAAACTGTGGTGTTCTCAGTCTTCCATTATCCCTGCTAACAATCTGGAAAAGTGCTGGCCAAAGCCTATTCCATAGCAAAGAGGTAGGGAGAGGTGGGGGAAAGGTGGCAGGCAGCCAAGGCTCCAGATTCATCTCATATTTCGATTTCTCCAGTAACGTGAGCCCCATTAGGGTAGGGATCACATTTATCCACTCACTCTGTGTTCACAGCCTTACAGGCAACTGACTGAGACAGAAATATTACAGGCAGTCAGACAGGGCTAGGCCCTCAAAGGAACCAGTGCAGAAGGCTAGATTCTTGCAACTGTGGGGGAGACAGACACCTCCTGCTATGGGCCAGGCCTAACACAAAAGATCAAACAAATACCCCCACATCCTAAGAAGTGGTATTCTAAATAGATCTCTGTCACCCTGAGGAAGCCAGAAGTCATCATCTTAACCTGCTAAGGGAAGAGTCAATGCTCTTTAAGCATGCCCGCTTGCTATGTGGCTCACTTCCCCATTTGTCCCTGATTTAATCAACTTTACCAGAACAATTAATCTTACTGGTTGGCAATAGTTCTGTCCCACCTAATGCCCACCTTGCAAGTTCTCATGTTTTCCCTGCCTTGGACCTGCCCTACTTTGTGGTTTTACTCTGTAACAGTCCCTTGAAAAGACAGAGAGTCTTTGGCAACCCATTTGAGACCCTTTCTGTTTCTCAGACAGAAGATTTTATGCTCTCAATAAATTTATCCTGCTCTTAACCTCCACTGTTCCTAAAAGTTATTGTTCAGTTTTATAGAAGACAAACTCTTACCAGACATCTAGTAGTTTGGGAGTTTCGTTCCCCTATACCAACAGCACTTAGTGTGGTGTAGCACATGACAAGTATTCGATACTTCTATGGAATGAATAAATGTATGAAGGTACACAATATGTTAAACACTTAACATACTGGCAATCATGTTTTTCAGGTGAGAAAACTGAGAACTCATTATTATTTAAGAGGTCAATAATGTACAAAGCTTCAAGCCCAGATCTTTGGACTTTGGGGGCCTCTGTTCATCTGATTGCTTTCCACCCAAAATGATGCCTCCCTTCATCAAACCACCTTGCTTTACCATTGCTATACCTTCATCCAAGTGCAGCTCTTTGGCGATACGCCTGAATCCACAGGTGTTGCCATGATCAAGAGTCCTCTCTACAGTTATTTAACTGTTTTGCTATCTCTTTGACATTGGCCTTGCCCCAGGGATCTTTCACTCCTGATTTAAAGATCTGTAGCCACTTTGAGACATTCCAAGTATATTTTAGAGGCTTCTCTGTGAGTAAACTCTCATTGGAAGATAGGAAGCATGACTGGCTCAAAGCCACCATCTGCCAGTACTAGCCTCCATGACTCTGGGACTTGTAGTTTCTGAGGTGTCCAGGGTCTGGCTGGGTACCTGTCCACCCAGCATGCTAGCATCAAGCTATGAATCAATTCCACATTATGTTTCCTTCTCTGCTGCCCACCCCCATGAACTCCTGGATACTTACCATGTAAGAGCCCCCAAAGAATGCATGAAGACAGTGCTTTGCTTGAGTGTTCTTCCACCAGTGCCCTCAAATCCTGACCTCCATTGCCCGTGCTTTTTGCCCAGGACTAGAACCGACTAGGTCTGAAACCTCTACAGCCTCTACTTGCCCTGACTTCATTCTGTCTGGCAAAGACCACAGTGGAGCTAGCAAAGCCCTGGGAGAAAGGCATAACTTTTTTCTTTTCGCAGGTCCTTCTCATCCATTTATAGGTAAAATGTTGACAAAACCTGGACTCCTGTGCATTGGTCTTGGGACACTGTCACATTTTAAAAGCACAGGACAATAGCCAGAACATAATTTAAAAGGACTTCTATTTTTTTATTCATTCCTCATGCAAGTCATTAAAGTGGGGAAACATAGACAGAAACTCTTAAATATTTACTAAATACTAAAAATAGAAAATTTCCATTTTCTTTTCTGCTTCTTTTTTCATAGTTGCTCCAATGAGGCTCTCCTCAAATCCCTGAAGAAAATTCTTCTACTTTTTGACTCTATGATTGTCCTTATCCTGCAACACCATTATTCCCCTTCCTATGATTTTACTTAATAGCTTGACTTAGCTCTTCTCTCCCAGCAGTAAGGGATCTTTCTTCTCTGGAGTGGAGAGAGCTCTGTAATTAAAGATTCTCTTTAAAGAGCTGAAAGAGAGGAAGAAGTGAATGCTTACATGAGTTAAATAACCCTCCACCGCTGAGACATGTTTCAGAATAAGCAAAGCCTCGGTATTTTCTTATTAGTCACCACTAGCAACACATTTTCAAATGATCTTTGTGATGTTTAAAGTCCCACAACAATTATCACCCAGCTTGGCAACTACCTGCTAACTGGTGGCAAAGCAGCAACTCTGTATATAGTGTCAGCTCAGAAACAGGGCTGTGATGAGTTGAAGCCTGCAGACTGACTGAGCAGGGAAGCCTGCAATTACCACATGGCTCTGCCCGGGTGTATTCTTTCTTTCATTCCTCAACTGGTAGGAATTGTGTGAATCCTTTATTTATTCCAGTTCTTTGCTAGATACTGAAGAGACTAAGATGAGTGAGCATCAGCCTCAGCTTCAACTTGGAGTTCCCTCCAGTTAGAGAGACAATCTTGTGATCACATCAACCATAACACAGTTTGCTGCATTATAGTGGACATAGCAAATACAGGAATGATTATGGGAACCATGAGATAGGAGAACAAAGTGTGATAAGATTTAGGGGTGGGTCAGTTAAAGGAAGCCTCCCAGAGGTATTATTCTCTCTGGCTCAAAAAAAGGAGTAGGAGCTTTGGTTTTTTCCACTTAGTAACATATTTTTATAGATCAGTTTATGTAGAACTGTTTTGTTATTTTAACAGGAATGAGGAGCCAGTGAAGTACTCTTAGTTTAGGGATTGAGAGAAGACACCAAGAAGAATCCACTCAGAGAGGACAAAAATAAGGACTCTATTGCAAAAGCTGCAAGGATATTTCAAATAGATGTCCAGGAGAAAGTCAGTGGCATTGTGACGGGTGATGGACGAGCTATGAAAATGGCTTGCAGACAACTCCCGAGATCCGGCCAGGGTGGGACTCAGGCAGCTTATTCACCCGCCCTCTTGGTAAGTGCCTGCAGCGTGGGCCTACTGCCATGCAGGCTAAAAATCAAGCACCCTTTCCCTGCTTCCCCCCCCCCCATAGCTACTGGGGATAGATGTCTCAGCATTTCTTGGGAGGATGATCATATGCAGTATAGCAAATATGGGGGAATTTCCTTTTATCTTCTGTTTGAAAGCATAGGTTGTTTTCACTGTTTTGTTATGTTTCTTTTGCTCTATTCAGTATTCTCAATTGGTTTTATAGTGTTCTATTTTTGGTTTGATTTTGCTATACCTAATTGACTGGACAACTATTGTGAAAAAAAGGTTATATACCATAGTACATATTACTACTATCCCAGTATCCTACTGTGAAATCCTGTACCAATTTCACTGCATTGTCTCGATTGGCTTTGTTCTTTCTTGTGCTGTTGCATTTTTACTACTTTCAAAATAAAATTTTTAAAAAATGGCTTGCCAAAGTTTTGTCTCGTACTATACATAGAAACTATCAGAAGTAACTTCAGAAGAAGAATTCTGAAGAGAAGATTCAAAGGCAAAAACTATCACCAAGGCTAAAGCTGACCTGGAACCCAAACTTAGCTCTCAGGACTCAAAGCACTGTCTACTCTTACTCAGGTCTGAGTCTCTCATTCCAGCTCTCACTGAGACATTGACGTCATTGTCCTCTGTGTGTCTACTTCCGCTGCGCCTCTCCAGCCGTGATGGGAAACCCTGCAGACCAAGCTCTAACTTCGATCATTTCAAACTAGACTAACTAAAATTAGAATCTATGGGAATGCCTGGATATCGTGTGAGGATCTGTGCATGTTTTCAGAATTTCCTCAGGCAACTCAACAAACACCGAGGGTGAAGAGCCCCTAGTTTGGTGTATTTAATGTCTCTGGCACATCTTTTCCAAAGTCCCAGGAGAGAGGATGTGATTAGTCCAGCTTAGGTCAGGTGATCTTGCCCAAATAAACAACTGTAGCCTGCTGAGGCAGGCTCTGGGCAGGATAAACAAAGCAGTAGCTCCTAACAAAGTAGAAGGAGACAGAGGCACGAGTAGTTCTCATCTCAAGTTTCTAGTCCCACGCTACACAGATAAGTGAGATTTCATGCTTACCCTTCTTGCTGCTTGCCCTGGGGACAAAGCCCTGACCAGAGTGCAAAATAAGTACTTTATTTTACTGTCACAGGTCCCATTCCTCCAATCCCTGCCTGAAAGGACAAAAGGAGCGACTTGGTCCCGTGGCTTCAGTCACTAGGCTCACTGCTGCCTGACCGCCTTTCTCCACCAGCAGCCAGCGATGCCCGATGCCCCTCTGTCTCAAGGCCATCTAAGCAAGTCCAGATGGCAGAAACTGAATCTCCAGGAAAGTGGGAGTAAGCAGCTGGTAAATATTTCACTGCAATCACTTCTTGTTTGTCATCAGAATGAGTAACTGTGAGTGGATTGTGGCTTCAAATTTCCATCCAGATTTGGGGGAGGAAAGGAGAAGGAAACGAGCAGAACGTGTCCTGGAAAGCTGGCCCTTTGTTGTGTCCTCCGTCCTATTTACCTCCTCTGTTGTTAGGCAGCTCCTCCCACTCACCTCACAGCATCTCCCTAAATGGAGAATTTTTCACTCCATTTTCATCTTGAGGAAAAGGGACGTTGGTTTAAATTTAGGGAACTTTGCCTAACCACGAGATTTGTCTCCCACTCCTCCAACTCAAAGTCAGAGGACCACAGGGGCAAGGATCTCGATATAACTATCCAACCTCCAGAACATCCTAGGGAGGGGTAGAAACCAGAGGCCACTTTGTCATATTCTGCCAAATCTTATCTTCCCTTTTAGTGTCCTGGTCGAGATCACAGATCCAACAATGTTTCTGTACTTCGCCTACTCAGTAATTTATGGATGTGTTTTCAACCGAATAGTCTTGTTTTTATTTCATTAGAAAAGCTGAGGAAGTTTAAATAGTTAGGCCAACACAGAAGACCTAGAATTCTAGATCTGCCAGTTACTGGTTTTGTAACCTCAGGCAGATGTCTTGGGTTTCCTCCCCCAGTTTTCTTCTCATTCTTCCATGGCCATATCTATGCCTACTCCATCAATATGCCCAGCACATACCATGCCCACCAAGAGATCTTGAACTTCTTAAGACTAAACTTATATACACGTGGTTCAAGCTCAGAGCTTGGTCACAGCAGATATTTTAAAAATATTAAATGTTAATATCTCCTAGGCTATGAAATCGGGACAATTGTGCCAAGTAGTAAATATCAAATAAATCACATGATTTGTAAACTATAAAACATAGTAACTAATACATATGTTTAAAAGTTGTGTCACTGGTCTTTCAAGAGATACAAATTCAAACAACACTGAGATTCCATCTCACTCTAGAAGTAAATCAATAACAAATGCTGGCAGGGAAAAGGAGTCCTTCTCCATATTGGTGGGATTATAGACTGCTGCAACCACTGTGGAAATCAGCATGAAGAATCTTCAAGAAAGTAAAGCTGGAGATTCCATTTGCTCCAGATATTCCCTTTCTGGATGTCTTCCTAAAAGAATTAAAAGCATCATACCACAGCAGCATATGCATACTTATGTTTATAGTGGCACAGTTTGTGATATTCAAATCTTGGAAATAGCTCAAATGCTGATTAATTGGTGAATGGATAAAGAGGCTTTGGTTTTTTGTGCGAAGGATTACTACTCTGTTATAAAAAAGGATAAGCTTGAGACATTTCTGGGTAACTGAATGCACCTTGACAGCATACTCTTAAATGAAATAAACTGGACACACGTGTAAATACCACATTGTTTCTCTGGTGTTAGAAACCAAAAGTGTAAGTAAAGACCAAAATGTATAACAGGTATTGTAAAATAGCAAAGAAATGTTTAAATGGTGAGGGGAATGAGAGAGGGAAGAGGAGGAAAGGAAGAAAGGGAAAAGGAAAAAAATGAGAAGAGAAGGAAAATGGAAACAAAGCTTTTGTAAATGGGAGGGGAGGAGGGGCTAAAGGAAGGGTAGGGGAGTGGAAAAAAGAATCAAGTTATACCATGTACAGGTACAAATTCTCTATGATGAATGTGATCATTATTTATACTTAAAATATATCAATCAAATCTTATGGAAGAAAAAAATTGTAATAATGTCATTGTACAAAACCTGTATGGCTTTTTAGAAATTATGTGGCCCTATTAAAATATTCATCATATTTGAAAAGCTCAGGGTAAGAGGATTTTATGATGAGAAACTGGGATTTACCATTTGAAATCAGTAGCTTATTAATCCTGTGATCTTCTCTTTCTAACATATGGCTCTGTTCTCATCAGTGGTGTTTTTTTCATGCAAATAGTTATTCAATGGTTGATATATTTGATGTGAATGCTGATAGCACTAAATCAGGATTTCTCAACATCCCCACTACTGTTTTTCTGGGCCACATAGTTCTTTCTTGTGGGGTGGAGGCAGCTGGCCTGTACATTGTAGGATGATTAACAGTATTTCTTGGCCTCCACCCACTGGGTGCCAGTGGTGCTTGCCCCTAGGTGTAACAGCCAACAGGGTCTCCAGATGTTTCCTCCCCCACCCAGGGGTCACCCCACCTTCCCTATTTAGCACTGAAGTTTGGACTTCTACCTTTTTCTATCTTTACTATTAGCATTTTCACTATTTCAAATGTCTGATCTCAGGATTCTTTAAGTGCTGCAAAATAAGATTGCTCTCAGTCTTAGGCAAAACATTTTTTGATAATTTAGATTTGAAGATGTGGATGTTCATCAACATATCTGATTATATACTAAAGATAATTTACCTGGCCAGAATTTCCCCTTCTTCTTTCTTCTCTGTATTCAGAGTTGGTACAGCCTTAAAGTTCATGCTTTAGGCCAAGAATCTGAAGATCAATTCTAGAGTTCTATTCACAATTTCTTTCAAGAAGCAAATAAGCTTCTTACCTGTAAGGCCCATGATGGCCTGATTTCTCAGAGTCCCCAAGGAGATACATAACTAAGGCCTACTGTAAGCCTCACGATACGGGGGGGTGGTGGTGGGGGGAACCTTGGTCTCGGCCACATACATTTGGGTGTGGTCAGAGCCTAATATCACAAACAAATCTCTCTTAAGTAAGTTACACCTTTCTTCTTTTTATTCACAGCTTTTGTCCTCACCTTCTTCCCTTTCCTCATCTTTGCTGTCTTCATGGATTTACCTTACTTCATAGGCAATGACTGAATTTTCTTGATGGCTAGAGCCTGTATCACAGTCCTCTTGTTACATACAAATGCCTATTTTCCTCTTGATCTCCTATCTGTCCTGCTTCGAAAAGCACTGAAACCCAAGCTTTTTTTTTTTTTTTCTCCAAGGTGTTATTAATCACCTGAATTTGTTTGCCAATGAATTTGGTAAATGCAAATTTATCAAGAACAAATGCTACTCATACTGGTACACACTTAACAAATTGTTATCTCGTTAACTAAAGATGGCCCCGTGCTGCTCCTGTTCTTCCATTAATGAGCCACACTCTTTGGGACACATTGTTGTGGACAAGAAAAAAATGGGGCTGTCTGTCATATGATTACACAAATTGAATGGCCAGTGTCTGGAAGTTGCTTTTGGAATCAAGAGATTCCAAAGCTCCAAGCTGCTATCTTTACTAAGTAGTACAATTAGCTACTTCCTACTTTCTTAAGTACTGCCTTTTTTTTGTCTTTTTCCTTTTTACCGGTACCAAGGATCGAACTCACGACTGCCTGCTTGCAAGGCAGGCGCTTATGCCGCTGAGCTAAATCCCCAGCCCCTTAAGTACTGCTTTTCTTTTGCCATTTTTGAGGTAAGGTTTTAAATAATATCTAGAACAGGAATCACATTTTTTTTACTAGTGCAATAGCTAATCAATTTAAAATTTTTCTTGCATCGCATTTAATTTTGCTGCAACATAAAACACAAAAATTGCAATGGAGTAATGTTTTGACATATGGATTTTCAAAGTCCTTTCTTATGGAAAGTGTGTGTGTTTTCCTAGAATGCGAACACAGAGCCTTCTTACTGAGCTACATCTGTAGCCCTTTTTATTTTTTATTCTGAGACAAGGCCTAAGTTGCTAAGTTTCCCTGGATGGACTCAAACTTGCCTCAGCCTCCCACAGTGTCAGAATTACGGACGTGTTCCACCACTCTCAACCTCTTCTACTTTTTGGAAATACATTGTACACTATTGCGATCCGTAGTTTCCTACTATAAAATAATAGCACACCAGAATTTCTTGCTCTTAACTGTAATTTAACACCCATTGATTAACCTTTTCCTTTCCCTCCCTTTTTCTCTCAACCTACAGAATGGAAGAACTTATTTACAAATTGTATAAGGAACTGCAAAAACTTGTTACAAAAAAATCAGAAAAAAATAAGCAATAGACATTTCTCAACAGAAGATATACAAATGGCCTAGGAATTTATGCAAGAGTGCTAAACATCAGTAATCATTAGGGAATTGTGAATAGAAATGACACTGTGATATCATTGCACCCCTCAGAAGGATAATCTAGCTACTAATCCCACTACTAATTATATAAGCAAAAGAAATGAAATCAGTATTTTGAAGAGACATCTGCACTCCCATGTATTTGCAGTACTAGTCACAGTAGTTACAAATGAAAACAACCTAGTTGATGAATGGATAAAGAAAAATTTGGTAATTACAAGGCTGCCCAGCCATAGAAAGAATGAAATCCTGTCATTTACAACAACATGGATGGAACTGGAGGTCATAATGCTAAGCAAAATAAGTCAGGCACAGAAAGTCAAATACCATATGATCTCACTCATACATAGGACCTAAAATGAAATGGTCTCATAAAAGTTGAAAATTTCCTTTTCTCTGTAGAAGCTTCTTGACTTAATCTCATTTGCTTTGTTTATTTTTGCTTATCTGTCCTATGCATTGGGAAGCTTCCTCAATTTTTTTTTTCTCATTCAAATATTCTGAAGCATTTATTCTATGTTTCCTTCTGGTAGTTTCATGGTTTCACATCTTACATTTAAGTCTTTGATCTACTTTGACTAGGTACACTTTTTGAGTCAGAGTCTTACTATGCTGCTCAGGTTTCTCCCTGATCCTGCTGCCTCCTCGTCTCCAGTAACTGAGATAACAAGTTTGGCCAGCTACTTGTTAAATTAGTATTCTGAGAATAGATTAACATCTGAGAAGACAGAGTAGTAGTTATATGGAAGTCATCTGAGAATAAAACTTGAATAGGTTGTTTAATGTGTCCAATGTGAGTATCTCCCCACATTGACTAATACCACTGGCACTTAGAGCTCCAGTTTATTCCTTGATATACATAATCTCACTTGATGTTATCTCCATCTTAAAGATACTGAGTGAACATGACCCAAGGCACTGAGTTGGTACACTGGGTTTCAGTGCAAAGCCCAACGAAGTGAGATGCTTAGTTCTAGCATCTAAAACATGAATTTTTGTGAACTTCTGAAACAGAGGAAAGAGCTTCTCATTTGGTTTAGTTACTTGTCTCATTGCTGAGACCAAATACCTGATGCTCAAAAGTAAAGGATGGGTTTATTTGGCTCACAGTCTGTAAAGATTTCAGTCCATAATTGGCTGGCTCCAAGGCAGGGTGGCACATGACAGAGGGGTAACAGTTCATGGCGACAGAAGATAGCAAAAGCAACAAGATGGGGTTGGGGGGGGAGTATAAAAAGATAATCTCTTTCTGCCTTTTATTGTATGCAAGCTACCTGCCCTAGGGTGTATGTAGCACTCACAGTCCTAATCCCAGTACCCTTAATCACAGAATTGCACTATGAACAAATGACACACTTTAGATTCAACTACCTCTAAAAAGCCCCCTCTAAAACCGCATTAGGCTTTGGGGGAGGACACTACACATGAACCATAGCAACATCTAATCCTCACAACTATTGCACTGAGGAAAGAAGTCCTAAAAATACATGTCATGGAGAAGTATGAAACATACAGGATTCAGAATTATAGATCTTAATCTCTAATTAACTATTTCCTGGCTGAATGATCGGGGGCAACTGACTTAGCATTGAGCATTGTTGTTTTCATCTAAAATGGAGATTATTTGACTGTGGTGAGTAATTATGTGTGAATTATTCTGTTCTCCCCAAAATGTAATTTAGCCGTAGACATTTCCTAGGAATTTCATCACCAAACTTTGGGAAGAACCTGGCTTCCCTATTCATCAGGTTGGGCAGACCATCACTGTCCAAATGCGATGTTCTTGTTCCCATAACAGCAGCATGACACAAAGAGGGTCAGGCTAAGGGAGCCACCGCTCCCATAGGCTGACCACATTTGGAACACAGACAAAACCTCTTCTAAGTAACCACAAGGAGAGAAAAACAGACTCCAGGCATGTCTCCAAGACATATCCATGTCTCTGGGGCTATGCTGGGCTATGCTCAGGAACTTTGGAATTTTTCTTCCTTTCTTGGATTCCTCTTTAATTTTACTGGTGTGAACATAACAATCAATCCTCAAAATAGATGTATAAGCGTTTTAGCTTTTTTTGTATGTAGGTTAATTCTAAAAATCAAAAATTAATAATCAGTTTTGTAATACTATAATTGCAGACATATAATTTTTGGAGAATTAAATAGTAAGGCTGAAAAATTCTCTATTTGCCTTGACCCTTAAGGGATAATTTGAGATGATGATTCTAGATGGGAAATCACATTCTCTTTGATACTGCAGAGACATTGATTCTCCACCAAGTTATTTTGTGGCATCCAAATTCCTGACATAAAGGCCAAGTTAGCTCTTATATTTATTTGATATTCTACTTTTATACCTTAATCCTTGGAAGCATTGAGAATAATCTCCTTATATTTCATGTTCTAAATGTTGCTGTGCTGCATGCGGGTCTTTTTATATTAGTTTTACTCAATCTTCTATGAATCTGTCTAATCTGAAACTGCTGTGTTTTCTTTGATATTTTTCCCCTTATTTTCTCTGTTCTTTCTGTAATTCTTGCGGGATAGATATTGACTTACTGAATTGATCCTATGTGTTTTCAACTTTCCATTTCTCTTCATCTTTTCTTATCTCTACATTCTGAAATACAAGGAATGGCTGAAACACATGGTATGGTAAATGTTTAAATTTTTTTTTAAAAAACACTTACTACAATAGAATACACATTGCCAAAAACAATGGAGTAAGAGTTCTCAAAGGGAGAAG